AAAGAGTTTGAAATTATTAAGATATCGAATATGATTGAATAATAATTCTTTTTTATCAACATATATAATCTCTAGAAAAACAATGAAAATTGAAACTGTAATTAAATCATTTATATAATAAACGATAGTCATTATTCAGTCAGAGCACATTTATCAATGATAACGGCAAGAATAATAAACCTTAAAAAAAAAGGTAAAATGAAAATGCAAAATATTTCTAGTTATATTAAATAAAATTTCATTTCTTGATAATAAATCGATGTTAAATTAATCTATAGAAATTTGAAATGTTTATCAATAATATATCTAGATTATATAAGATATAAAAAGATTTCAACTTATATATAGATGAGATTTTTTCTTTTATAATAATCTTCTTGTAATATGTAAACCTTGATTCGATTATAAAAAATATCTTCATGGATCTAGTTATTATTGAACAAATCCTATGTTTGTTTCAGGTTTTTTTTTTCTAAATCTAAACAATCGATTATATATTTATTTCGAAAGTATTATTTAACATTAATTGGTATATAAAATAAATCTAATTTTAATAGAATTGATCTTGATCAACAAATTCAATAAATAGTATCTCGTGCTTTTGATGAAATTAAAAAATCTAAACATATTATTATAAACGATAAAATATAATATATTGATAATAAAATCTATCGAATCAATTTAAATTCTAAACAATCAACAGTTTTAAATAAAAGGATATAAAATAGGTTATCTAGAATGATTAGTTCGATAATATAATCATTATCGAATAATCTTAGTTAATTCAATATATTTATTTTATTCGGATTCTAATCTAGGATATATTCGAAGAACTTATTTTAGAGATTGATTTTATTTTATTTAAATTATTCTCATAGATACAATTCAACCTTTAACTTTTTAAATTTATATTATTATTCAAACGATTTTTTTTTTCTATTGTTAGACCTTTTAATCGAGATTATTTTATTTTTATAATAACATTTCAGATTTATTACTTTTTTATTGATTAGATCTATTCGGAAAGTCTTCGTGGAAACTCAATTCAACATTGACCGAGAAGATATTCGACATATTCAAGATATAGAGATGTAGAAGGTATAGTAAACAGCTCTTTATCTTTTATGATTGATTTTTTTGAGTAATCGTCCGAAACGTTAAATCAATGTATCTCAATGGATCACTATTTAAACTCAACCGGTATACAAAGATTATTTGCACTAGTTAATCAATATATCCTATATCTTCTAGCTCTTTTATATATCGAATATCTTTCGTACCTTTCGTACCTTTCGTATGTTCTACACCTCTCATATAAAAGGTCAGTTCTGTAGGGAAAAGTTCTTATTATTCAGTCACTATTCATGGGACTAGTAAATAGTTCCCTTCAACTTTCAGCATTTACACGTATGACCTTAGCAGAGACACTGTATAAATCCCTTCGCGGCATCCAAATCGAGACATATGCAGGGTATGTCGCTCTGTGAATGAAATTCGAAAATTTTAAACTTGAAAGTTGAAATTAGAAAGCTTACTTTAAATCAAGTTTCAGGATTTACATCTATGTTCACAACATCCACAGCAGCAGCAGCAATGTGATGTGTGTCGCAGTGTTTCAAGTCTTTTTGTGACCAGTTCTTTGGCGACACCCACACGAACTGCAATGATGTGTGTGTGAATTTGTACGTGAGCTGTTTCTGTCGAAACTCCCAGGAACTTGAAAGTTGAAAGTTGAGAACTCAATTGAATTGAAGTTTAAAGTTTTCTATATATTTGTAATGTGTGTCTTGTCGTAGCGTGACTGTTGTCATTTTATTAAGACCGATTTATATCTTAGGATTGATTGTAGGTTTTTTTGAGAGAAAGAGAAAAGAGATATATACCTTTTAGATCTTCCATAAGAAAAAGTCTATTGTCTAATACTGGTTGATGTGTGTTCCCTAGGAAAAGATCATAGATAAAAGATCAATATCCGATCCTGCTCCTATATCTCCTATAGTGGGACTTAATTGAATTTTTGAGGAAATTGACAGAAGACATGATATGTATATTTTATCGCGTAGGCATTATCAAGATTCAATCTCATCCTTTAACGTAATGCATACCGACAAGAAGAAATATTAGTTCGGTAAATAAATTAGAATTTATTTGAAAAAGAATTTATCTTTGTGTATCAATATGACACTAGATCAATTTGATCTTCACCATTCGTCGAGTCTTCGATATTCTCATAATAAATTTCACTTGTATTGAAGAAATGGATTTTGACTGATGGTTTGAATTCGTGAAAAATATGAAAGAAAACAGACATAGAAACATAAGTAAATGCTTCTCGAATAATCGATCGCATATGAATTTCTTTTTACAATTGATGACAAACATAAACAATTTAAGATTGATTTAAACGATTTGTTTGAAATCGAGGCCGATAAGTAAACAAAAATTTACTCTACAATATTGATTAGTTTTTTTTCGACCTTAGAAAAGAAAATGAAAAACAAATGTTCGGTTAAACAAAGATATTCTTCATCTTGTTTCAACTCCAATTCATTTTTCTTGTTTATCATCATCTAATTTTTGACAGAGAAAAGCACAAAAAATATTCCCAAACATAGAATCTTTAACCAAAACAAAAAAATAAAAATAAAACTCAACTGAATAAAAAGTAAGAATTTTCCTGTTAATAGTTGATTTTAAAAAACTAATAAGAAAAATCCGTTTCGAATTGATATAAACGATTTTTGAGTGTTTTAAATCGGCTAATGTAATTCGACAAGTAATGATAAAAACTATTGAAATTCTAACTAAGATTACAGATAAATCATAAGCAATGAATATCTCATATCAGATTTAACTTTATTCTTCTGCTTTTCATTAACATTATTTTCAGATAAAAACGAGTAAATATAAAAATCAAATTTCATTTTGAAATGACATTTACATTTTAAAACGATGGTTTGATTGTCTATCAAGCTTGATATAATGATAATATTGACTTGTGACGAGATAGAATATCTCGAAATAATTCTATATATATATATATAAAAGACTTGGAAATAGTCAAACTAATTCAAGAATAATATCAATGACAACTCTTTATTATAAAAATATGAAATAAACATCGAAAGAGAAGATAGATCCTTTCTTCAATTCGACCATCGAGTTACAACTCAATGTCACTCAGATAGGATTATCATTCTTTTTTCAATATATTCTCTTTTTAATAGAAAAAACAGTGGCAAATTCGAACTGAATTCATCTAAACTTTCCGCATAAATTTCTCTCGTTTGATCAACAGTATGAGAGTGTGGATGAAAAGAATAGTTTCATTAACCAGTCCGTAGATAGGTAAGGTATGGATCTTTAAATTTGAATATTCATGACCCTTCCTTCGTATATTTAATGGTTCCTATTTAAATCAACATGATGCTCTTTTTAATAAGATCGAACTCTTTTATTAATCATCCTATTGTTCACAGGGATTTTTACTATTAAAGATTGGTCAATCAATATGACTTGATCACTTCTAATGCTTCTCAATAAAAAATGTTTTCTAGATATACAAAATATATCAATAAATAGATTAGATCACTTTCTATAACAAAGAGAATTTTTCAATAAATTCAACGTTCAGTTAGTGATTATATTTATTCTAATAAGACAACTAAGATATTTTATTTTTTTACGGTTAAACTTTTTTAAAATAGTCATTCGAAAGGCATATCTATTATTTTCAAAACTGTTTTAGGATTTTTTTTGTCGAAATGCAAGAACATAGAACAACGTCTGTACTAATACTTTTCAACAATTGTCAAAGTCTCTCTAGATGGAAATATTTCTGATAAACTTATTTAATATGAGAGTGAAGGAGAGTCTCAATAGAAGGTTCTATCTGAACGAAAAAATATTTAAAAAATAGTCCAATTTAATAGATGAATATTTATATAATAAAATCTATAGATGAGAATAAATGTGAGAAACAATAGAATTGACAGTAGAATTAAAATAACATTTTCAAATCAATATTTTGTTATAGTTTATTTTATTTTCTAGATTATATTTTTATTATTAATATAGAATAACAAATAGTAACGTTTTCTTTTAAGAATTATTTATCAATATATACATGAGGATGATAACTTCAATTCTTCACCGATAAATATTTATATTTATTTAATTAAATCTAAGAATATATTCGATTTGACGATAGAAAACAATTGATCAATCATCTTATTTTAATCTAAATTAAATATAAAATCATTTAAATAAAATGATTGATTTTATTTATTCTTTTAATGATACCTTTCATCATTCTTTATTTCAATTAAATTGACTTTTAAATAAATGAAAATAACCAAGAGAATAATCATATACTTAATCAAATTCTTCTTATTGAATTAGATATAAATAAATATTTTTTTCTTTTCGATAGATTTTCATTATCAGAAGAATAATATATATTTAATTAATAACCATTTTATATCGTTCAAGAGTTTATTTATGATTCTAACATATATCATTAAAAAGAAAAATATTTATTTATTTCCAATATAAATATTTTGAGAAATTTCCATGAAAATTAATTTTGTTTATTATTATTGTCATTTGATTAAATGTTATAAATTTCAATAAATATTCAAATATATTCGTTTTATCCGATAATCATACAAGATAAAATAGATTTATTATAAAATCAATTTATTTTATTTCTATTATATATTTTTTATTAAATATCATTTTAAATAAATAATAATTCGTGTATTTAACTAACAACGAATTCATTTAGATTAATTGAAATTTTTGTTAATGTAAATAATAGATAATTATACCTATTATTATAACCGAACAAACTGACAAATTCTGAAAGAAAACAAAAAATTAAATCGAACAAAAATCGATCTATATTTATCTATTTAAACGTACTTTAATTAAACCCATCAGTTTTTTTTCTTTCATTTTTAGTTTTTCTTTCTAAAAGAGAAAATAGAGAAATATATATTTTACATCAAATAAAATCGAACTACTTCTTCTTTCTTCTCAATTTCTCCAATAATATCATCGATAACAATTTCACTTTGATATAATCTTTCATTTGTTAATTGATTATTAAGTGACACATTTTCATTTCTTTCATTTGTTAATTTATTTCTTTCATTTGTTAATTCATTTGTTAAATTAGTTGATAAACGACGTTCAGATATAATAGTTCCATTTAAGTTAAGTATTCGTGTAGCATAATATCGACGTAGATTTCTACTAATAGCAAGTATATGTTGCTGATGAGAATTAGCATGAGATGGAATATTCTAAACAATTGATTATTTACTTTCGAACATTATAAAAAACAACCTTAAATATTTTCATGCAGAACAAGATAAACCTTTTGAATTTTTTTTAAAATTACAAATCGTGCATAGTATTAGTATCGAAACGGAGATATAACTGATTATAACGAGGTATACCTCTGGATTTAATGGCATTAATATACCTCTACCATGATTCATTTTTAACAATTCAAAACAAAAAAAAAGCAAAAATAAATCTAAAGTAATCGATGTTGGAAGGAGAAAAGTTAATAAAGAAGAAAATAATAGAAAAATCATTAAATATTTATCATAGAATTAACTGTTAAATAAGCAGTAAAAAAAACTCTTCTAACCTTTTCAATGTAACACATAAGAAACCAGTTGACGAAATAAAAATAAAAATGAAAACAAATAAAATAAAAAGAATCGAATCGAATAAATAAGAGAAGATGTTCTTTGTTTTAAACTATTTGTATATAGATATATTAAGAAAAGAAAATGAATCAACCAATTCTAAACAAGAAAATAGAGGTCGTTCAATATCCAATATATAAATGATGTTAACAAATGAAAAGTAATTCTAATTAGTGAAAATATTTAACTGATCGAATATGAAAAGAAAAGATAAAGGTAAGAGAACAAGACCATCTTCATTTAAAATCAATCAACAAACATGATTAATGTTTGAAGGTAAGAACGAGAATTAGTTTGTCTAATTGACATTCTCCAAAGTCTAACATAGGAATTCAATTAATAAAAAATAATCGGAATCTTTATTCAATTTGTTTTATTATTTTAATTTGAAAAATATTTAATTAGATAAGAATATTTAAATAGATATAGATCTTTTATTTATTTATTTATTTTTCTTCTCTCTACATCATTATATTGAAGTTATTTTCAACAAATAATTAGTTCATTTTATTAATCGATTATTAAATAAAATACTTTTTTATTCCATTAATATATTAAATAAAAATTCTATTTGAAAATAATTCGATTATGCATTTATGATAATATTCTTCGGGATTTGTTAATCTGGTCTTTCACTATCTATACACGAATACAGTATAATCGAATTTTGTTAATAGAAGAAAGATATTGTTTGATTATGATGCATCAAATATCATTCCATCGTCGATGAGAAGATCATTCCATCGTCGATGAGAAGATCATTCCATCGTCGATGAGAAGACAGGATTAAACTAGAAAAAGTGCTTATTCATTAATAATAATGCAGGTAGAAAGATTTTTTCTATTATTCTTATTTCATTTATTTCTTTGATAAAATAATTTCTAGTTTTTGTTTTGTCTCTTCTTCTCTATTTGTTTGAGTTGTTACGTTTTTTAAAATATAAATAAACTTCTAGAAGAAAATAAATTCATTTTTTTAAAATTGATTAGAAAATGAGATAAAGATGGCAGGGAGATTCTAGGATGAGAATCGACCAATGGACGAGACCTGATACAAACCGTATATAGATTCTCTATCAGTAGACCTACCGCTTTCTCATCTTGCCGCATTGACACACCCAAACCCTGAACGAAAATTATTAAATCAGGTACGGTGTATCTTTCCCACCAACCATCCCCCTCGCGCTATCACTGTTTAGCATAAAAGTTGAAGAGTAACTATAGTTAGATGTTTGGCAATATCTATGGTTGCTTATGTTTTTTTAATAGATTGATGCAGCCTCCGAAATATTCTATGAAAATTTTGTTTTTCTTTGTTCTATATATGATTCCTATTTGATGAAACGTAAATAGTTGAAATATTCATCAACATTTTTGAAAGTTGCCAATGAAATTTTTGTTTTTGAAATAACTAAATATATTCTATATATGAAATTCGATCATTGAGATTTGTTTTTCTATTGATGAAGAGATGATCATCTGTCTTTCTCACTTATTAACTTGTTCAGATTTATAAATGAAATCTCGAGAAATTGAACATATTCAAAAGTGACTCATCTTATTTATAGGTGAACATAGACTACTAGTCTTTACAGAAGTAACAATTCTGAAAACAAAAATCGAATATTATAGAAAGAAAAGTTATATTTATCATTATTTTCTTATAAATAATCATTGATCAATGAGATGAAAGTGTTGATTTCAATAGATAAAAGACTGATATTGAATAAATTTTGTAGGTGTAAGTGTCGATGTAGATCAAGTAAATATCTATACCTTGAATTTTGTTTATTGACAATAGATAAATAATATTGATTAGTATTTTTCAATAGATTAGAGAATTCTATTAGTTATCGAGATTATTTTTTTTTCTCTTTCTCATAGTATATACTTTTATAATTGACATAAATATAAAATATGTCTCGCGTAATCCCTTAGGGGATTTCAAATGTGAAAGACGATCTTGTAAAAGGTGTTGTTTTTTTATGCATATTGATCTAGATTCGTTCATAATAGTTTACCTTACATAATAGAGTTTGAAGAGGATAATACTCGATATATAGTTCAATCATATGTTGGTTATAGATAAACTCGGATTTTTTCTTGAACTCTTCTATCACAGTCTCTAATGACACGTAAGCCCTATCTGTGACGATCTCTGGTAGAGGAATGGAAATTTCTACCTGTAAATATTTCAACAATCGTTTGAGATGATGTTTGACACAAAAGATATTCTCGTATTATCGTTGAATATTTAAGTTAAACATCTAAAAGTAAATAACGAATCTATTAAATTAAGAAAATATATTTTATTATCTCAATCTCTATGATGAATTTGTTAAAACCTTTATTTTATTTTAACAATTTGAAAATTGTGAAGATTAGTTGAGTATAATATAAGATAATAATTATTGAAACAAATCGATCTTTTATCGAAAAAAAGAATGATTAAGAAGAAAAAGTCCCATCGTTTCAGATGAAAAAAACGAAGAAAGATTCGAATAAAATTGACTGATAATTATTGAAAATAGTTAAAGATAATTTGAATAAAATTGTTAAGTTGATAAATAAAAGATAAATAGAACTATTGATATATTTAATATAGTCATCATTTATTATATTAATCAAGAAGAAAATCAACTTATAGAATATGTTCAATGGAAATTGTTGACTTAGATGATAGTCATCATTGAATAACTTGAAATAGAGAATAATAAATAACGAGACATTTTGATTATGATTAAAAAAATTAAATTGATAAATCATCTTTAATCAATAGTCAAGATTGTTGTAATGCGAAGAATATTTATTTAATTAATTAAGATGATTAAATATTTGAATATAATATAACGAGTAAAATCATATAATTATTCATTAAAAAGGATAAACAAAGTGATAATTATATATCGAATTTAAGTCTCATAAAAGAAACGATATTTTATTTTTGAAAAAAACTTCTTATCAATGATGAAGAAAAGGTTGCCTCAATGTAAAGAACAACTCATTTTAATCTATTTTAAAAATGATTATTTCCAATATAAATTCTAGTTGATTATATTCAATCTATAATTAATCTTATTATATTCTCAGTTAGTCAAAAAGATTTTATCAACTCGATCTTCACGTTTATTTTATATTTCCTTCAATTGGTTTTGCACGTTTATTTAAATCTTCTAAGTTTATAAAGACTTATTGAAATTAGTTATAATATTGATTGATGATAAACATGCTCATTTGTTTCGAAATAAAGATTTTTTCTTAATCTTACCGTCGATAATATATGTTATTAACTGATATTGATATTCTTTTATTAGAATAAAATTATTTATGAAAATAATATTCTTATCATATATATAAAGTATATTAAATCAATATCGTGTTTTTATCTCGTTCTATTTCAATAAAAATTCAATAATTAACATGTCTTATTTTGGATGATTCTATCTATTTAGAATATTATTTATAATTATATAGATATATGATTAAATATTAAAAATTATAAAACTTAAAATCCATTAGGTAGATATTGAATATATGTTAGTTTTTATTCAATAATAATAAATCATCTTTCAATCGTATTATTAATGAATAGTTTACTTTACTAAAAGTTTCAAATTTAAAATATAATCATAATAAAATTGATAATAGTCGTTATGATTATTTAACGAACGAAGAAAAAAACAATAATCCTTTTAAATTTGAATGATAATTATAGAATTAATGGTTTATCTTCTATTATGATTATTAATAAGATAATATTTATTGAAAATAATATTGATTATATGTTAATTATTTTATTTATTTGTTTAATTAATTAAATCAATTTGTTTTTCATTCTATTTTATTTTAGGCTTTATTTTATATCTACTGATTAACTTTTCATATATTTCCTAAACAATTACATTATCTTATTGTTTATTATTTAAATAAATAAAAACAATATTTTATTAATTATTCAAGAAGATTATTTACTCATATGACGGTTACTTTATTAATATAATTAAATAATTTACTTCGGCTTATTTCAAGGGAAATAACAAATAATCTATCCGTTTTTATTTCAGCGTTTTTTTTTTTCTTATAATTATTAAATATCCCTATAGAATAAATAAATCTTATATCTTATATAAAATATCAAACAATTTATTGCAAACACTTTCTTTCTTTTTCTCTTTTTGTTTGTTTTATTCAGATAATATTAATAATAATATTGGAGAGAAGATAATCAGATAATTCTTTTCTTTTAATAATCTGAATATATTAAATATTTACTTAAACAAATTAATATAAATATCATTAAATAAAACTTATCTTACGAAAAAACCTCCCCAAGTGTTAAATCGCTTTTGAACTAAGAGTTCACTGATTATCTATCGTCCTACGGAGACTAGAAAAAACCTCGAATGATTGATACCCATTGCTCTTTCTTTTCGAGTTCGAGTTATTTTACTCGCTTTTTTCATCTATTCTATGACACTAGGGGACAATATGGAAAAAGTTTTTGCTCATAGAAAGGTCTCATAATAGTTCGAATGCACCAAAAATTTCAGCAAAAAAAAAAGCGTTCCATCCTGAAGATAATGGCTTTTCAAAAAAGCTAATCTTTTTTTTGACTCTTTGGTTAAAATGTATGCTTTTCTATTAGAAGAGCATTATCTCGGGAATGAACAACTCATTTTCGATGAAACTTTCGGTACACTCAAACTATCTAGTCTTCATAGGAGATAGATAATCAGTGAACTCTTAGTTCAAAAGCGATTTAACACTTGGGGAGGTTTCCTCGT